GAACCCCCCCTTTTTCCTAAAATCACTCTGAGCAAATTCAAATGGCATTGGAAGGGCTAGGAGTTGTGGTTCATGACTATAATTCCAGAGATAAAAGGACTGCAGTTTGAGGTCAGCTAGGGCAAAAGCATAAAACCCTGTCTGAAAATAAAGCAAAAAAGGGCTGGGGACCTGGCTCAAGTAGTAGAGCACGTGCCTAGTAAGTGCAAGGCCCTGAGTTGAAACACCAGAACCACCAAAAAAATTAAAATAAATGGCATTATACCTTGTTCCTAAAAAATACAACTACCCTGGGAAACATCTAGGCTTTATGCTTTTGTGAGAGATAATAACTTTTTCTCTCTTCTGGGGATGAAGTCCTGTCAATTTTCATTTTCTAGGTAGTCATCAATCTTATCTAATGTTTCAAACTCATGGCCACCAACTTGAGTAAAGAATCCCTGTATAATTCAGATAGTGTGAAAACGAAGGGAGGATGAGATGACCCAGGGAGGCTGTAAACAGGACAGAATTTTTTGGGTCCTTCAGACCATAGAGGTCTAGGGTCAGAGGAACCAACTCAGATGCAAACAAGGTAAACAGGTGAGAGTAGGGTCACAGGGCCAGAAAAGGTGTGCTGCACAAAGTTACTAACAAAAGACCTAAGATGCAATGTGACCATCCAACTCCTAAATCACACAGTGAGGTGCTGTCTGGGACAGGGACAGTACATCTCTCTGCCCTACAAGGGAAGCAGCATCTTGTAGGGAGGAGAGTGAGATCCCTCTGGCTGGGAAAAGATGAAGAACAATTAGGGAAAGCTCCCCAGAGAAGGCACCTTGGATGGGCTTTGAGGGAAGATAAAGTTCCCTGTGGCAAGAAGGGCAGAGGTAGGCAGTGCAGCCTGAGAATAACACCAAGAGTACAGACGCAAGAGAGGATACAGTAGGCAGGACTGCAATGCATGTGGCTGAAGAAGACATGGAGTTAACAGTGGGAGGAGAGACTGGTACAGACTCCTGGGACCAGGTGTCCAGGAGTATGTAACACCTCAGGCTGCAACTTTCAATCCTGCATCACCATACAAGGGGACAGCCCCAGCAGCTACAAGGATCCCCACACAAAGTAAAATCCTAAAACTTAGACCTGGAGGGACATGCCTGTAACTCCAGCACTTAAGAGGCTAAGGCAGGAGGATAGCAAGTTCTAGGCCAGCCTAGGCTACATAACAAATCCCTGTCTCAAAATATAATAATAATAATAATAGTAATAAAAAATCCTACACTTGAAATTGAGTTCTGTTCGTCATAAAATAATTCAAGTAATCAATAAAGGGGACAAAGCCAACCTGTGTGTCCCTTCTCCTTTTGCGGGATATTCACGAGTTCAGCATGTGCTCTTTCAGATTTTCTAGTTCTCTAGCCAGTCCTAAGCCTCTATACTCCATCAATAGACACCCTATCCTGCCTATAAGTGGCTGCACTGGACACTGCAGAACACAAGTCCACCCTCAATCTCATCCTGTACCAGAACAGGTACCTAGATAGAACTGCAGGTCCCAAAGCAGGCACAGTGGCTTACTACTGTAATCCCAGAGATCAAGAGGATCACAGTTCAAAGCCAACCCAGGCAAAAAATTGGTGATGTCCCTCCCCCCCATCTCAACCAATAAAAGTTGGGTGTGGAGGCATGTGACGATCATCCCAGCTACAAGGGAAACAAATAGTAGGATCCCAGTCCAGGCCTGTCTGGCATAAATGTGAAACCCTACCCCCAAAATTAACTAAAGCAAAAAGGGCTTGGTGCATGGCTTAAGTAGTAGAACACCTAGCAAGTGAAGCCCTGAGTTCCAGCTCAGTACTACCAAAAAAAAAAAGTGTAGGGCCCTAAGCAGGAGACCAATGCACCCCCAAATGCCCTTCCCTCTACCCTTGCTCACATAGGAAATTACAAATCTGTCACGTGAAGGGGATGTGGTTCAGTGGTAGAGCACTTGCCTAGCATGTGCAAAGCCCTGGGTTAGATCCCCAGCACAGCAAAAATGCAAACAAACAAAAGAAAACCTTTTATCCCTTAGTCTTAGTAAGAGGGAAAAGGTTCCTTTATCATTTAACCTGAATCAAATAACTGAAACAAATAAATACACATGATATGACCTGGCAATAATCTATTTCTGAGACAAGTCTCAGAATAATCTGAGACGAGTCTGGGCTCTCCAACAATGTCACTTTCCCCTCCCTTCCCAAAGGTCAGCACACACCATCCTGGATTAGGAACACTTCCCATGAGAGGCACCCCCAAAGGAAAGGTTTAAGAATTACTTCTGGGGGATGTGAAAAAATACAGAATGCTTTTCATCAGTTAGGGAAAGGCAGTGTCCACACTAATTTTTAGGAACAGTGGTGTGACAGGGATAGTCAGACAGACTGAATTGAGACAGGATTTTGAGCCTAAAAGGTTGCAAGAGCAAACCCAGAAGGTCCTCCTGGCTCCACAGTCCCCTGCCAGCTTTTCCTGTAGACTCTAATCTGGTTAGTACCTCTGCTGAGTGGACTGTGGTGCTGTGTCCTTGAGTCTACCCTACAGGTGGCTTTCAGCTCCCCCACCCTGCTCACCATCCTGTATGTTAAAGTTTAGCGAAGAGCTCGGCTAAACCCCTTGAAGTGAAGGATGTTATTGCCCCTAGACATGTCTATAGCAAGAAACCCCTGGATCACATTCTCCATAAACTCCTGGACACCAGAGGCACATAAACCATAAAGAAGTACTTTGCTTGACAGTTCTTAAAATTGAAAAAATGAGAACTACCATGGAGTCTGGAATACAAAACAATCAAAAAGAATCTGTGGGGGAGGGGCAAGGGCAGGTGTAGCTCAGGGTGTAAGGCCCTAGGTTCCATTTGCAGCACTGGAGGAAAAAACAATTGGAGTTGGAATGGAGTGAGTCCCACAACCTAGCTGGTAGCCTTTGCTCCTGAGCCTCATTCCTCTCACCGTGTGTGAGGAGAACAGTGGTACCACCTTCTCAGGGTACAAAGCTGTGCAGACAACAGAATACAGAAATTTACTCATTTAACTCATGGGTACTGCCAGACATGGTGGTGGTACAATGTATAATCCCAGCACTGGGGAGACAGGAGGATCATGAGTTAAAGGCCAGCCTGGGGAACACAGTAAGACCCTGTCTCAAAAAACAAAGAGGGATGGCAGAGTGGCTCAAGTGGTAAATTGCCTGCCCAGCAAGCAAAGGCTCTGAGTTCAAACCCCAGTACCACCAAAACCAAAATAATCAAAAACCACCATAAGTGGTGGCTCATGCCTGTAACTCCTAGCTACTTGGGAGACTTAGATTGGGAGGATCTTGATTTGAAGCCAGCCCAAACAGTATGAGAGAGCCCATCTCCAAAATAAGTGGAGCAAGATAGACTGGAGGCATGACACAAGTGGCAGAGTGCCTGCTTTGCAAATGCAAAGCCCTAAGTCCCACCCAAAAAAAAAAAAAAATCATGGGCATTAAGTATCCATGTAACAACAACTTGTGATGGCTAATTTCAGGTGTCAACTTCACAGTATTAAAAAATACCTAAAAAACTACGAAGTCATTATCATTTCTGGGTGGTTCCCAAGGAGACTAGCGTTTGGAATCAGCGGATAAATAGGAAAGACCCACTATCAGTATGGGTGGACATCATCCAATCAGTTGGGGGCCCACACAGAAAAACAGCAGAGAAAGGGTGATCTTTTCTCTCTCTCCCTCTCCTTCTCAGAATCTCTCTCTCCCTCTCTCCCCCTTCTTCCCTCCCAGAACTGGCACTCTCTTTATCGCCTGCCCTTTGACATCAGAACTCAGGCTTTCTGGACTTTGGACTGTAGGAGTATTCCAGGACTCCCTGGAATACTCAGACCTTGAGCCTTGGACTAAGAATTTCACCACTGGCCTTCCTGGTTCTGAGGCTTTCAGACTTGGACTAAGCCTTGTTATAGGAATGCCAAGGTCTCCACATTAAAGATGGCCTGTCATGGATGGGACTTCTCAGCTTCCATAATCATGAGCCAATTCTCTTAATAAATTTCCTCTCATACATTTATATCCTGTTTGTTCTGTCTCTCTGGAGAACCCTGAGTAATACAGTATGTTAGGTTCCAGAATAGGAATAAAAGATTCCAACCCAGCATATGAAACAGACAAGTCACTGGTTCTTCCCAATGTGCCAAATGCTGGCTCTGGGTCATACAAGAAGCCATGAGAAACACTGAAGGAGCTGCACAGCCCATTGTGAGGGCCAGTAGCTAATACCTGAGGATGAGAGGTTAGAGCTAAAAGGTGGATAGTCAGGGAGGGGGTGACACAAAACATCATTTAGCTATGTATACACAGTTAGTAATCACCTGGCTTTGGGCTTTAGCACCCATCAGGTACCAAAGGAGTAACCAGGACCCATGTGGACCTCTTAGCTTGCATTATGATAGTGGGGGAAGGTGCTGAAAGACTTGGGATAAGATGTTACAGCATCTTTAAAAAAAAAAAAAAAGCAGTGTGTGTATACAGAGAGAAAGCAATGTGGTAAAGTGTTAACAACTGGTATGTAGTCAGATGTTTATCATACTATCCTTTCAGTTTTTCCATAATTTCATATTTTTCAAAAATGAAAATGCTAGGGATGGGGATAAAAACCAGAGTAAAGTAAAAAGTAAATGTGTTTTACACCAATGTGCATAGGAGGGCTGTGTATGCAGCTGGGTGCACCCTCCTCCTCTGCCACAGAATATTCATTTTGTAAAATGCAATATTACAAGCATGATTACATGCAACTGCCAAGCACGATTATCTTTTGAAGAGACAACATGCCCAAGAGAGAACAGCTGAAAGAAAAACTCCAAGGCCTCTTCTATGTCACACTTGTTTGACTAAGTCTCCAAAGCAGACAGTGGGAGAGGCTCCAGGGAGAGCAGGAGAACCAGTCACCATCAGTACCAGCATGCCTACCAGTGGACTTATAAAGACAGGTCTGGGTAACTCACCTGAAGTAATCACAGGATGCAGCCAGCAGGATGCGATGCGCCTCGATGTGTCTCCCCTCCACCACCAGGACAACATCAAAGAGGATCCCACTGTCTCGGAGAGCCAGCAGGCCTCGGAGCAGGGCCTGGGAGTGCTGCGTGCTGCGGTAAGTGTTGTTGACGCAATGCGGGTGAGAGGGCTGTGTGGGCAACTTGCACAGTTGGGTGAACTCCTGCTCCTCTGCCATCCTGACAGCCACACCAACCCTTACCACTGCGGCCTGTCAGCTGGCAAGACAGGGGAAAGGGAATGAGCAAGCAGGCAGCACCCCCTTGCCACACATACTGGTCACCACAACCCCTGCTCCTTACCCTGCTGCTGTGCCTCCCTCTAGCTCACCTGCCCATTCTTTATGATCCCAAACCCTCTAGTTCCCTGTCACCTCCCAGTTCTAGTCCCACTTGACCTTATTCCTAAAAACCTGTGTTCCTTCATTCCAAGGTTCTTCATCCCACTTTGTCTCCTTCAGCACTGCAGTAATATAGAAGTTGGGTGTGGTGGCACTTGCCTCTAATCCCAGCTACTTAGGAGGCTGAGGCAGGAGGATTGCAAGCTCGAGGTCAGCCTGAGTAATTTAGTGAAAGACTCTGCCTCAAAACAAAACTAAATAGGGTTGGGGATGTAGTTCAACAGTACAGTATTTACCTAGCTTGTGTGAGGTCCTGGGTTCAATCCTTAGCACCCAAAGAAAAACCAAAACCAAAAAACCTCTTCCTCTTTCCCAGTGAAAAACAACAAATTGGGATCCCCCTTACAGGACTAGATACATAAAATGCCAAAGTGGTCAGGAAACCCAGTGTTGGAACTCTCCCATGGGAGAAGAGGGCAGACTAGCATTTCCAGTAAGTGCCTTCTTTTACTAAGAGTCTATGAGTCAACCACAGAAACTTGAACTGATGGATTTGAGATCATATAGGGATGGGAACGCAGCTCAGTGGTTGAGTGCCTAACAAGCATAAGACCCTGGGTTTGATCCCCAGAACAACAAATAAAGAGATCAACACTACATTTTTTAAATTCAAGATTACTTTCTGAGCTGGCAGAGTGGCTCAAGTGGTACAGTGTGTGCCTAGCAAGCATAAGGTCCTGAGTTCAAACCCTAGTACTGCGCATTTTACTTTCTAATAACTGAGTCAGCATACTCAAAAACTGCAACTGATTTGAACAGGAGCCTTAGAAACCTAACCAGGAAAACAAACCTACTGCAAATACACTTGTGCCATTCACCTACAACGAACAAATCTGAAGCAACTGTGAACAGCTTTGGGTCAGGGAGTGGCCAGCCTATTCAATGAGATGTGACCTGTGGCTGAGTTGCATGGTCTCTTGGCCATAAAATAGCCAATTACAAGGCCATGAACATCTGTCTTCTCACTTCATATTGCCCTACTTTCCCCTCTCCAATTCCCTTCTGCATCTTTAAAAGCAAAAATTTTTCATGCTAATATAAAACTGTTCAAAAAGAAGGAGTCTCCCTCCTCATTCCTGAAGGCACACATCTCCCCATTCCCACCCCCATCTGGGCCTGTGTGCTTTGGATCCTCTACTGCCTCCCATCAGACATGCTCCATTCTCTTCCTCAGTCTGCCTTCCGGACTTGGGTCTTCTGCCCACCCACCCACTTTTTCTCACATACTGGATTGATTTGTCTTTTCACCAAAGCCCTAGAGATGGCTGGAGCCAAGATGTAACCCCCATTTACCACCTCTAGCTTAGGAGTCTCTCCTGCCTGGAAACTCTGCCCTAAGGTGAATCCCCCATCTCGACCTCTTCTTTTTCTCTCACACAGTGTACCTCCAGCTCAGTGCATAATCCAAATAGGAGCCTTCTCAATTGATCTATTTTTTTAAGATGACTCAATTATCTTTAATTAATTTATTTATTTAGGCCTCAGAACCCTGAACTCAGGGCCTCCAGTTAGCTAGGTAGGTACTCTACCACTTAAGCCATGCTCCCAGCTCCTAGTGGCTTTTTTTTGTCAGTGGTACAGCTACAAGTGAAATCTCATGGTCTCAACAATCTCTTTTCTTTTGTAAGCCTGTGTACTATCAGACCCTCTGATTCTGACTCCTCCTCTCCCCTATCTCAGACAGACACATCCCCTTGCTCCAACTGGTTTCCTTAATTCTTGCCTCATCCTCCCAGGCCTCTACTGTCCCGGCTGCACGGAGGTCCCAAAACACCCCTGTGAGTATGCTACCTGACTTCCCAGGCACTGGCTCCCTGTAACCTCATTCAAAACCTCCTTCAAGCCTTCCTTCATTTGCCCTGTCACTCACTGGTCCTTAGCCCAAAAGGGACAGCCATCATCCTCTCAACACTTTCAGTCTTCCTCCTAGGCCTGTCTTACCTCTCATGACCCTGTATTGGTCATGGTTGAGCTCAATCACTTCCACCTCTACCACTTTGTTGTGAATACAATAAACATACCCTGGAACCTGTCTTATCTATCCACCGCAAGGAGAGTTAGGTCTCTTCAGGACTTTGTCTTACAAGCATCTCAAAGTTCCTATGGCCACATTTGCTAATCACAGACTCTAGGCACTTATCTCCTATCTCTAAACCTCAGTTGGCTCATTACCACAACTAACCATGTAGTCAGGATGGTCTCATTCTGAGAGTGACTGTGAGAACTGATGGTCTCAACAATGAGCCACCTCATTGTGTGATGAGATCACAGCAGCCCATCTGCCCTCTTAGGAAGGAATGGATGATAGCTACACCTTAAACACCCACCACAAGAACAAGTACAGTAAGACAGGAAGACAACTTCCTTGGTCAGGCAAAGCACATTTATCAAGCATAATGAAAGGAACTCAGCTAGGTGCTGAATGGGGCATGAAGACAAAAAAACAGTTTCCTGATAGGAAGGAGCACAGCCTGGGATACAACATTCAAGATCACATGTATATCCAGGCATGGTGTTGAACACCTGTAATCCCAGTACTCAGGAGCTTGAGGCAGGAGGATCTCGAGTTCAAGTCCAGCCTGAGCCATGTAGCAAGACCCTGTCTCAAAAAAAGAAAAAGAAAACAAAACAAAACTGAGCATATGAAGCCAAGAACTAACCATCACCAAAACATTCATCTCAGGAGAACAGGTGTTAGGCTCAGGAATTCAACAGAACCTTAGGAAACAGTTAAAATGAGCAAACGAGAACTTAGGGAATAGCCACCAAAGCTGGAAAATCTCAGAGCCATTGAGACAGAAAACAACAAATTACAAAATAGTTTGCAAATTTATAAAAAGCTGGAAGGCACAAATTACTATCCAATATTGCCTACAGATAGATATAATGGTATAAAACAACTTAAACAAATTTATTAGAATGAGAAATGCCAAACTCAGGGTTATGATTAGCTCTAGGAAGGAAAGGGGAAATGTTTTATTTGTTTTAAAAAAAAGTGTAAAACAGAACATTAGGATCTGATAGGAATGTTATTTCCTGTACTTTCCTGTAAGTACGAAATGTTAAATAGTGAAATCTCTTATGTATTTTGAGTATATAATACGTTAACATGACTCAAATTCAAAAGGCATAAAAACGTGCACTGCAAAACTGCCCTTCCACCTATGCTCCAACAAGATCCTCTCCCATAGGAAGCTATTTCACCTTCCTGCAGACCCTTCCAGAAGATACCTATGGAGTGTCAGGCAGCTCTGCATATCTGTAACATTCCTCCCTCCTTTCCATTGGTTTTTGCATGTAACTTCATATCCCTCCACAGTCCATTGTATGGAAAAACGTGTTTTATTTAACCAATCCTAGGCAGACATCTGGGTTTTTTCCCATTGTTTGATATTGCAAACAGTTGTGCACTGAAAATCATTTAGATGTGCCATACAAACAGCAAAGGACAATTTCCTAGATACAGAACTACTGGGTCATTTTAATTTTAATGAGTATTTGTCATGTTATTAGACATTACCAAATTGTTCTCCATGGAAGTTGTACCAATTTGTTCTCCCACTGGCAAAGTATGATAACCTGATTTGGGCCACATTCGAGCTCACCAAGAGTATTTCTTTTACCTCTTTGCTGATTTAGATTAAAAAAAAAAACATTTCGGAGTGTTAACTACATTTTTGTAATCTACAATATTTTTTTAAATAATTAGATGAAAATGCAATACATCCTTCCTTGTTCTTTTCTGATGACTTCTAAAATAATAATTTAAAAAATGCTCTTATGCTTTACCAGCTGACATCCTCATTCTCCTTTTCATTTGACTCTATCCTGAAACCCTTTCCCAGTCCCAACCCCAAGTGCGTATCCTCTCCAATTCTAGACCCTCACAACCAAGGTCCCTCCATTTCTGTGCTGGTTCAAATCTTTAGAGTGCTTCAGAATCCCAAGTAGATACAAACTGAAGGCGGCAGAATTAATTTTTAAGAACTTAGGGATGAGAATCAAAATCATTTTAGAGGAATTTTCAACTCAACATCATTTACTGAGTAACATCCTCGGTCTTCCTGGACAGTATGAAGCAAGGTCTGTAACCAAAGTAAAGGGAAAGGGTTGGGAAGAGCAGAGGAGAGTGGGTCCTCACGTCCAGAGAACCCGTCCAAGGGGTGCCCATTTGTTCTGAATGAGCTGCCAGAGAGCAGACTCGAGCACCGCAGTGCTCAAGGCCCGTCCTCACGAATGCCCGGGGCGAGGGGCCCCAGGGAGGAGCCAAGGCGGACGGTGGGGGAGCCCCCGCTGAGCGAGCCCAGGTCCGTTCGTTCCGCCCGCGCAGCATCTAAAACAGTGAGACCTGGCGGCCGACGCTTCTGGACCAGGCGATTATTGCACTGACAGCGCGATCTCCGGCGTCTCTCCGGAAACTCGGCGAGGTGGCCAGGCTCGGCGCCGGTGCCTGCAGCCCCCGGCCCCTCGACCTCAAGCCCGGCCACAAGGCTAAGGAAACCGAGGCTCGGAAGGCCAAGAACCGAGGTCACGCCAGGTGGCGGCGGCCGGGCCCGGACCCACCCGCCTGTTGCAGGTCCCGCCCGCGCAGCGCCGAGGGTCGCGGCCGGGTAAGGCCACACGCGGACTGGCCATGGGCGACAGGGCCAGCCCCGGGGAGAGGAGGTCAGTCGGCCAGCAACCGCGCGCAAGCCCCAGCCCCCGGCCCGCAGCAAAGCGCCGGCCCCAGCCCCGCCGCGCCCGGGGGGTCTTGCCTGCAGCGCCCCCGCCACGTCAGGCCGCGGGCTCACCTCAGGCCACCGCCCCCGCGCCTCCGGCCCGCGCCCGCCCTCGCTCTCCCGCGCCACTAGCACGCCCGGGATCCTGTGCCCGCCCGCCCGCCGCCAGCCTCCTGCAGCCCGCGCTCCCCGCAGCCTGCCCGCACAGCCCGCACGGCCCACACCTCGCAGCTGACCTGGAGCCGCCGCAAGCTGAGGCCGCACTCGCAGAAGGCGGGAGGTGGGGCGGGGTCTCGGCCGTCACGTGGCGCACTGCGCAGGCGCAGTCGGAGGCCTGTGGGTGCCGCGGGGGCGGGGCAAGAGCGCGGGGCCTCGGGCTGCGGCGCGCCGGGTGCGCGGGGGGCGGTCCTGCAGCTCCGGAGGCGCTCCTCCGCGACGCCCTTCGAGAAGGGCTGCCGCTTGCGAGCTGCGCTCCGCACTTGGCATTGCTCCAGGCACCTGGCGGGCCGGAACGAATGAATGAGTGCATAAAGGGATGAACGCCTTAGGAGCCGTGCATCCGTTTCACCTTCTCTACCTCCCTGCCTCCTTCGCTCGCTCACTCAGTCCCTCCTCTCTCCTTCGTTCAGTTACTTATTGCCTTCCTCGTTCGTTCAGTCGTTCCCTCCCTCCTTTTTCCCTCCTAACCTCATCCTCTCCCTTGCTCCTTCCCACATCCTACTTCTCTTAAGTAGGGCCTCAGAAGGTCTCACGACCCCTTCTGGGTGTAGGGGCAGTAAACAGATACAGGCTCAGTGAACGGGTGTTGATTTTTGGAGATTCTGGAGTCTGATTTCCCAACCCCAAAGCCTGTCTCCAGCTGTCCTGAGGAGGGTTTTGGCATTCATTTTTCTCTGTCTCACCTCTGCCGGGCGGATCCCATTGTATATCCAAGGTTAGAACTGAGCCTCCTCATAGATGGGGGCCCACGCAGATTTCTAGTTTTGAAAGGGGCTGTGGAGGGTGGGGGAGCAGTGGGAAGAGAGGATATGCTGGGCATAGCTGTGGTTAAAAAGAAAGGGGAACTGGAGACACGGTTAGGTGATAAAGTTCAAACCCCGGTACTGCCAAAAAGGATGGGGCCAGGAATAGTGAGGCACTGTTGTAATCTCAGCACTCAGGAGGTATTGGTAGGAGGATCCAGAGTTCCAGACCATCCTGGGATACATGGTGAGACCATATGTGAGAGAGAGAGTTGGCAGAGGGGTGGAATGGAGAGGAGGAAGAAAATAAGTGAAAGAAACCCTGTCCTAACTGAATCCAAAGTGCTATTTGAAGGGGAGGACAAGGAAAAGAGGAGGACCAGCCTCCAGAGAGGAGGTACCCAATAGGAGTCCTCTTCTTTCCAGGAAGGCTTTCTGGAGGGTGTGTTCCCCAGCTGTGTACAGAGGAGGACTTTTGGGGAGCAGGAAAAGCATCTCAAGAAGGGGATAGGGCTGGGATGTAGCTCGGTGGTACAGCGCTTGCCTAGCATGCGTGAGGCCCTGGGTTCGATCCCAGCACCAAAAAAGAAAAAAGACAAAAAAAAAAAAAGAAGGGGATAGTGTCAACAAAGGCATGGAGATCCAGCAACATAAATGGTTGAGAGATTGCCAGGATTTTCTGAGCCTAAAAGGTTGGAGACCAGATCCTGCCTGCTGGGGACTGGATGTGGCCTAAGAGCAGCCTTCAGACACAGTGGACTGAGCAGAGAGACCATTAGAAGACAGTGACCTCGGGAAGTCAATCAGAGAGGACAGAGGGCAGACCTGGCTGGAATCCTGGTGGTATAGTTTGGGCAAAACATGAGTGTCCGCCAAAGTCCATGTGTAAAGGTTTGGTCCCTACAGTGGTGGTATTGGTATATGCTGTGGACCTTTAAGATGTGAGACCCGGTGGAAGGTCCTGAGATCAGTGGAGGCGTGTCTTAGGAGATTGGGTGCTCTGGTCTCTCAGACTCTCACTGCTTCCTGCCTGGAAGCAGAGACTGCTCTCCTTGCTCTGAGCAAGGTGGCTCCATTGCCACCTGGCACCCTCACCAGAACCGTAAGTCAACGTGGCCACTCAATCTTGAGTTCATATTTCCAAAACTATGAGCTTAATAAATCATTTCTCTTTATTAAGTTGATCACCTCAGGTTTTTCATTGTAGTAACAGAAGGCTGACTCAAGCCTTTTTCCTGTGTAACAGAAGGAAGCTCAAGCTGAGATATGGAACACTGAGGCAGTTTAGCAGGAAGCAATGTTTTATTATGCTGACACAGACTCAGCAGACTCGTGTCCAAAGGGTAAGCCCCAAGAACGAAGGGGTCTCACCTTATATACCTTTGCAAGCAGGTTAGAGAAGCAAAAAGCAAGGTCTAATCCATATGTTGTTATGTACAATTCTATAGGCTACTTTACCCTAGAGCTACGTAACTTTTCCCCCTCCCCAGTGTTACATGACCATCTCCATGTTCAGATTTCTCAGATTTTATCTCTCTGCTATGCCATCCCTACTTCCCTGCTACTTTATCAGAACTCAGGCCTAGTTTGTTTTCTTCTGATCCTCCTCCCTGCTACATCATTCCCCTCTTTGATGCTCAGACCCACTTAGGGTCAAAGAGCATCATCTTAACTTAGGAGATTGTATGTTCACAGCATCATTACATATGTAGCTGTTTTTGCTTCTATAATGGCCTCCATAATAGTCCTGGTAGACTGAACTACCAGGGGACCCAGGCAGGGCAGTATTAAGCATGCTCCCAGGAGTAGGCTGATTGCCCCATTAGGGTTTTGAATCTGCCCAAGTCAGCGAACCATCCTCCAAACAGGTCATTGGGATCCCATCCTCTCCAAGTCTGGATGGGGACATGGGTAAGCTTTCTCATTCTGTTTGTGACTTCTTCTATGACCTTTCCTTCATCATCAATCTGTAAGCAGCAGTTGCTCAGGTTAAATTTTCCATAAATTCCTCCCTCAGAGGCCAACAAATAGTCTAAAGCCAAGCAGTTCTGATTGATGGCATTGCACATCTTAGTGCTTTGTTTTGTTATCAAATTGAGAGCTCTTGTGCTTTTATTAGTTATAATTTCAACAACAGCCTGCAGCCTGATGATGTGGTTGAGCATATATATAGGGGTGCGATAGCCCCAGGACCAGTCTTCTGCCCAAATGGCAGGACCATTTTACTGGACGATATGCTCAGGAGGCCATTCATTATCTTTCCTATTGCCAATTTGTAAGGCACCTGTTTTGTCTACTTAATCTTTCTTCATATGTGGGGACTCCAGTTTTTCACCTTGTCTGAGGGGAAGTAAGAAGAAAGATGGTCTGATTGAGCCTAGCACATAAGACCCAAACCAGCTGCTAGGTAGCAACATATAAGCTTGCTTCCCACAGATCTAGATAGCCCCCTAGGCGCCTGCCAATCTATGTTTGCAGTAAAATGGTTCCAAGCTTTTTGGAGATTAGAAA